GACACATTTGTGTCACTACTGATATGTTTGTATTTATTCCAGTAATTTTATATTTTTAGAATTATATTTACCATTTTATTTCTTTTGTAAGTAGTTTTATTTATCATATATATTTCCTTTTAGTCGATTGGCTATTATGCATATTCTTTCTATTCTTTACTTTTGGTAGAATATTTACTTTATCAGAATAATAGATGCTTAAAAATACAGAAGGGCTATAAATCCCACTCCCTAGCAGCCTCCATTTTTAAGCATTTCTGCTTTATATTTTTGGTGGTTTTCTCTATATCTCTAAAAAGTTACTTATATGCTAATCTTTTGCTTTTCAACTTTAAACATTATATATTTATTTTGTTTTGTGTTAAATGAGGATTTAGCATTGTGCTTCTTTCCACTCCAGTTGCTTTAGATTTTTATCAGTGTTTTTAGTTCCTCAATTGGCTATCATTAGAATGTTTAAAACATACTAAACACTCACTTTTATATTTTCATGACTGAATATTTCTTGGCTATATAATTTATAAGTTAAGAGTATTAATAACAGTGCTCTTTCCCTTTTTCTTGCCTCTAATTCTTCCATTTCTCAACTGCTTCCAGCCATACCTTTACTTATATAAAACTAAAGTTGAAGACATGTACTTTTGTACCATATTGTTAAATAATTCCTTCCCTTGTATATATATTTTTCTAAACTTTAAAACTTTTTAAAACAGCATTGATACTATTTTAGTATGTATTTCTTATTGTAAATATATGAGTATACTGCAAAACTATGTGATACTCTGTGATTACTCTTTTGTCTACAGTTCCAGTGATTTTACTATGAAGGTCAAATGGAGTATACTTCCTTATTCTCTACTAGTAGTTCAAAATCATGTTAAATTTTAGTTTGTTTTATAGTAGGGCCATGCTTATTTGTAACTTTGTGTTTGTATTCCTGAAGAAAGACTTTCTTTTATTTTATTAAAAGAAATGTATGCCTCTTCACCATATACCTTAGGTCTTCTAGCTTCTTAAGCATTCCATTTATTGCTTGATATCCAGTCTTTTTGTCTTCTTAAACACATTCTTGTAGTTCACCAGCTTATTGTTCTAATTTGGGTTATATGCTTTCTAAGCCAGCTACAAAGCTGCCATCTTTGAACTTTTTCCTTTGGATTTGTATGTTAGTGCCATTACCTCTCTTATTTTGTACATTATTATTTTTTATTTCTTTTGTTTTTCTCTCGAGTATATCTTCAAGTAACTTCTGACTACATTAGTACCTAGAGGGTAAACATGAGTCCTTTGGTATCATGTGATGTATAGATAGGCTGATTATAAATAGTTTTCCATCTACTGTTTTCTAATAATCATTGTTGCTGATGATAATTCTAATTCCAGCTTGATTTACATTACTTTATGGGAGAAGAGCATAGTAACATAATTCTGGGGAAATATTGAATGTGAACCTTGAAATTTAGAGACATGCACAAACATAGTTACTGGTGACTTGCTTTTTACCTGGAGAATTCTGTAGGCGGTACTGCCCATACTAGCAGACAAGAAGAGAGGGTAAGAGTGGGGCAGTCTGCCCTTCTGCTGTTTGGCATGGCAAGGATGCATGAGTTTTCTCTGTAACAAGTGAACAATGTTAAAAGTAGCTCACTTGATTTCTTTATAAAGATACTCTGCCTGAGAAGGCAGCCTGGCAGAATGAGAAAATACTAGGAATAATAGGTTCTTGGATATATCACTGGAGGCAAGAAGAGCTGAATTAAGCATGTCTTATGTCAAGGAACTATACAGTGCCGAGGCCCCATAATGACTCCAAAATGTACATGTGTCCTAAGAAAAGATGAATGTTGGGGCACCTGCCATACAGAAACCACTGGTTACCAAATAGTGTTTTCAAAGAGAGAGAGTACTCAATATATATATATACATATATATATATATTAAGAGAGAATACTTAAACAGTAGGATCTATTAAGCAAAAGTCTATGGCCCTTTCCTCTAATACTTGTCTACCCTCACTCTCAGATACTGGAAGAAGGAAGAAAAAAGGCTGAGAAATAGTTAAAGAACATACCACACTATTATTTCATTAGGTACCCTAACCATAGGTCAAGCTTAATCTAATATGGATGAGGGAGAGCTTAGAATAGATATAAAGTGGAAATTTTTATTTAGACTGGATCTTCCAGTATTAAGTACACCCAAAAGTGAGTTTTAATTACTAAAATCAAACATTTCTTTTTTTATTTTTATTTTGTTTATCTTTATTGTTGAATGTATTACAGATGTTCCTCATTTTTCCCCCATTGACCCCCTCCTCCCCACTTCCGCCCCCCTCGCGCCTTTTCCCACACTATTGTCTGTGTCCCTTGGTTATGCATATAAGTTCTTAGGTTTATTTCTTCCCACCCCCCAACCCCTTTCCCTTTGAGGTTTGTCAGTCTAGCAATGAATTTGTACTTCTTAATCCCGTCACCTTTTCCACCCATTCCCCCAAGTCCCCCTCCCATCTGGCAACCAGCAAAATGTTCTCTGTATCTATGAGAATGTTTCTGTTCTGCCTGTTTATTTTGTTTGTAGATTCCATTGTCGATAGATATGTATTCTTTGCCATTTTGTTTGTTCATATAGTTTATCTTTTTCTTCAAAAAGACCCTTCATCATTTCATATAATAATGGTTTGGTGGTGATGAACTCCTTTAACTTTTTCTTGTCTGGGAAAATCTTTATATGGCCATCGATTCTAAATGACAGCTTTGCAGAATAGAGTAATCTTGGTTGTAGGTTCTTGCTTTTCATCACTCTGAATATTTCTTGCCACTCCCTTCTGGCCTGCAAAGTTTCTTTTGAGAAATCAGCTGACAGCCTTATGGGAACTTCCTTGTAGGTAACTAACTGCTTTTCTCCTGCTGCTTTTAAGATTCTCTCTTTGTCTTGAACTTTTGCATTTTGATGATGATGTGTCTTGGTGTGGGCCTCTTGGGGTTCATCTAGTTTGGGACTCTCTGTCCTTCCTGGACTTGTATGTGTGTTTCCTTCACCAAGTTAGGAAAGTTTTCTGCCATTATTGTTTCAAACAGGTTTTCAATTTCCTGTTGTCTCTCTTCTCCTTCTGGCACCCCAAAGATGTGAATGTTGGCACACTTGAAGTTGTCCCAGAGGCTCCTTACACTATCCTAATTTTGTTGGATTCTTTTTTCTTTTTGCTGTTCTGATTGGGAGTTTTTTTGTTTTGTTTTTTTGCTTCCTTATATTCCATATCAATGGTTTGTTCCTTGGGTTTACAAACTCTATTATTGAAGCTGTGTAAATTATTCTTTATTTCAGTTAATACCTCCTTCATTTCTGACTGTGCATCCATAATTTCTGACTGGTCCTTTTTTATGCTCTTGAGGCCCTCCCTAAGTTTACTGAGGTTCTCACTAAGTTCATTGAGCATCCTTATAAGCAGTATTTTGAACTCAGCATCTGTTAGGTTGCATATCTCCATTTTGCTTAGTTTTTTTCTTGGGGTTTTATTCTGTTCTTTCATTTGGGACCTTTTTCTTTGTCTCCTCATTTTGGCTGCCTCCCTGTGTTTGTTTCTATGTATTACTTAACGAGAGGTATGGGGCTAGCTGAGACCAGATGCTGCTTGTTTGAAAGAATTTAGGAAAAACCTGAAGCAGGATCCAAGACAGGCCAATTTTATGGTGAAGCAACTGGCAACAGCTTGGGTGGGCCTGAAAGTTGGGTCGGGCGGGGCCTCAGGGAATCACCAGGGCGAGGCTACCAGTGTGAGCCAGGTTGCTGGAGTCCCAGATATGGCTGCTGTCTGCCACCTCAGGAAAGGCTCACCAAAGGAACAAAGGCCCCTGACAGCATGTTTGTCCTGGAGAAATCCCCCTCTCCAGCCCTCGCTCCAGTGCCAAACAGCTCAGTTCTTCTCTGTATGTCTCTGGTGCCCCTTGAGCTGCCTCCCCTCCAAGCTTAGAGGGAGTGAGTTCGATAAGTCCATGCACAGGCCCTTTAAGGAGCTGCCTGGGGCTCCAACCGTGTCATGTTCCCTGAGCCTCAGTTACCACTGGTTTTTCCAGCCAGAAGTTATGGGGAGTTCTCTTCCTGGCACTGGAACTCTGAGCGGGGCATCTGGTGTGGGACAGGGACCCCTCAGTCCTCAGGGAGGACCTTCCCAGCCGAGGTATCCTTCTGATTTTTATCTGCCACATGTGCGTGTGCGACCAGCCTGTTGCGCCTCTGCCCCTCTTACTAGTCTTGATGTGGCTACTGCTTTAATTTTGTAGTTGTAGGATTTCCATTCAGCTTGATTTCAGGTGGTTTTTAATGATGGTTTTTCTGTAGTTTAGTTGTAACTTTGATGTGGTTGTTAGAGGATGCAATACCGCGTTTTTCTAAAATCAAACATTTCTTATCCTGAAGACCCATTAGCATGAGATCAGGTGTCAATTCTTATTCCTGTTCCTCACAGGGGTCAGATACCACATCTCTTGTTACCATATGTGAGTTAAAACTTCAGTGCACAGTCCTTTGGCATATATTCAGGCCTGAAACTCTCATGGTCAACTGGGTTATCAGCTGTAGCTTACCACTCTGACTTTGATGTCTCTCTTTATTTTAGCACTTGAGGTTTTTTTGTCTGTTTGTTTGTTTTTTGCTTCTGCATACATTTTCAGCTATGTATTTAAAATGTATAAAATTATTATCCCTTCCACTCTCTAAAATGTATAAAAATTATTATCTATTATTTCTCTATATTTGTAATAGTAAATAGACCTGCTGATTTCAATTCGAATTAACGTACTAGCAAAAATCTCCTGGGCTCATTTTTATTGTAAAAGATTGTAGGGATTTTAAACTTATAATAGGTGCAAATTTAGTTTCCACATATTGAGAAATGTTATATGTACATATAGATTTGTAGAGCCCTTGCAACAGCAACATGATTACCAATATGTGGCTTATTATACTCTAATCAAGTTATTTTGGGATTTGGATGTGGGTAGGTGTGAAACATCTGAAAGATATGCCAATTCTGCCAGGAGAGATATTCAAATATAAATGGACAGTGACTGTAGAAGATGGGCCAACTAAATCAGATCCTCGGTGCCTGACTCGATATTACTCAAGCTTCGTAAATCAAGAGAGAGATCTAGCTTCAGGACTTATTGGCCCTCTTCTCATCTGCTACAAAGAATCTGTAGATCAAAGGGGAAACCAGGTGAGTTCTTCTCTTTCTAAGTGCTGGATTTGAAGCTAAAAATGGAATTATGACATATATGAACTTCCACATATTTTCTATACTCTATCAGTGTATATCTCCCAGTAGCATGTGATATTGAGCAATAAAAGAAGTAAGTTTGGTGTCTCACATCTGTTAATTGATTTTGAGTTTGGTGTAATAATCTTGCCTGCTGGATGGATAGGAGACCTGGGCCCTATGTTATTTCTATAATACTCATACCCAGTCTAAAATTCCACTCTCTGTAGGTGATCTTGCTTATTTTAACATGCTCAATTATCACTCATTTTTAATTTTTTTCTTTATTGATTTTTTTTTTTTCAAATACAGTCAAGTTTTTTATTAGATCAAAATCAGGCAGTACTTTTTTCAGATTTAGTGTCTGTGAGATAGCAACTTCTTTTCTTTTTTTTTATTGACTATCAACTATATATATATATTTTTTTTATTTATTTTTTTTGTTACAGATATTTCACCTTTTATTTACCCCATTGGCACCCCCCTCCCCACCCCACCCCCACCCTGTCCCCGGCTTACTTGTCCATGTTCATTGGTCTTGCATACATGCATATAAGTTCTGTGGTTTATCTCTTCCCACCCCCCCCACCCCCTCTTCTGAGGGATATCAGTCTGTGTCCTACTTCCATGTTTCTGGGTCTACCGTATTCCTCAGACTGTTATGTTCATTATATTCCGTATATAAGTGAGATCATGTGGTATTTGTCTTTTTCTGCTTGGCTTATTTCACTTAGGATAATACTTTCCAGGTCCCTCCATGTCGTCTCAAAGGATAAGAGATCTTTCTTTCTTACCGCTGCATAGTACTCCATTGTGTATATGTACCACAGCTTTTTTATCCATTCGTCTACTGATGGACACATGTTCTTTATTGATTTTTGGGAGAGAGGAAGGGAGAGGGAGAGGGAGATAGAAACATCGATGAGAGAGAACATCAATTGGCCATCTCCTGAATGCTCCCCACTGGGGATTTGGCCCACAACCTGGGGATGTGCCCTGACCAGGAATTGAACTAGTGACTCTTGGTGGACGGGTCGATGCTCAACCAATGAGCCAAAATAGCCAGGCCATTATCACTTATTTTTAGATGCCGCACAAATCTTATTACAGCCTAGACTTCTCTAGAGTTCAATAAATATTTGTTGAGCAAAATACAATGATAGATATATTTCAGAATATGACTACAATTTGGACCACTTCTGCTACTTGAAAAAATAAAGTTAAATTCTCTGATGAAGAAAACCTTACTTCTTCACAAAAACTCATTGCCATATTACTGAGGCTTGACTACATGTCCATTTAGTTATTTATGATACATAAGATTTCTATTTGATGGCTAATAATGAAAAACATTTTATATAGAGCAAATAGATATATTGAATAGAATGTAAATTTCACAAATTTAACATAAAAAATGACAGTCAATAAAAATTACCCACTGGTACTTATGCTCATATCCCTCTAAATCTCTTTTCCCTAGGATGGTTGATACATAGGATTTCTACTAGTCTGAAAACATTTCATTGGTTTAGAGACTAAAGCACATGAATTTTAATGTAGGAAAAACATGTGGTATATAAACCCAGAGAGGCATACATTTGCCCAAGTACCTGTCTTGACAAATTTTTCCCAATTATAGTTTTTTTCACTGTTTTTTTTTTAAAAGGACTAAAATGTATTTATATATACTTTAATCTTCTCCCCTAAGCATTTTAGTTTCTGTAGTGATAGGTTAGGCAAAATGAAATTGATACATATTAGTGAGGTTTACACACTAAATCTTAGAAGATTCAGTTAGCAAGTGACTAACATACTTACTGTTCATAGTACCCACTCCCATTTCAAACCTCTGGTACTTACCATAATAGTGACCCTATGGAGAAATGGAATTGAACCAAGGGATTATAGATATATCATATGCATGCTATCACTTCTACTGTAGACTGCAAACTCCTACCTGACAATAGTAGTAGTATTTCCTTCTTTCAATGCATGTAATTAACAGATGATGTCAGACAAGAGAAATGTCATCCTGTTTTCTGTATTTGATGAGAATCGAAGCTGGTACCTCACAGAGAATATGCAGCGCTTCCTCCCCAATGCAGATGGGATGCATCCCCAGGATCCAGACTTCCAAGTTTCCAACATCATGCACAGTAAGTAAAGCAGAACCTGAGTCTAACAGGTAATAGATACAGAGAAATTGAAGCCAGCAAATTGATGTCCATATCATGGATTGATTTATATGCCATGTGAGAGTCATAGTTCCTTAAAAATTGTTACATATGAACATATACAATTTTATATAGATTCATATTATCATAAAACACATTTTTTCTTTTAGAATGCATCATATATTCAGAGAACTTTATTTTTAAAGGATAAATCAAATAAGACAGCTTTCATTCTGACTGTGCTGGTAGTTACACACATATCTATGCTGAAACTCCTAGAACTGTACACCAAGTAAGAATCAAAAATTAAATATATAAAGCAAAAAAGATGGCAATGGGCAGGACCAGAGTGTGGGTCAATGTGTAAGAGTGTGAGAAAGTATGAGAGAGAGAACATGAGTGAATGTGAACATGGACAACCAACCTTGAGCAGTGCAGAGACATGGGGCAAAAGGTTCCTGTGCTGTGGACGGAAAGCAGCCAGCTACCATGGTAAGCAGCACATCAGCAAACTTTCCCTTGCTGGTGGCCGGGAGGCCCCACCATTTTAGAGGATCCTGGGTCTTCCCTGGGAGGAGGAAATGGGGAGCGGTTGGGGCTGAGCGACCTGAGTCCACTAGAGTGCCCTGTAAACTCAGCTGTGTTGGCACAGTCAGCACATAGTAGGTGCCTGCAGCAATAGCAGAAACCAGCCAGTCAGAGCCCCACCCCCAATAGCAGTAGCTGGCTCGCCTAGGCTCCAGGCCCATGGAAGTGCAGGGGTCAGCCCAGGCTCCAGGTCTGCCCAGGCTCCAGGGCTGGAGTGGTGTGGCGGCCTGCCCATGCCCCAGGCATGCCCAGGCTCGCGTCCTGGGGCAGAACATCAGCCTGCCCAAGAATCAGGCCTGCAGCAGCACAGCAGCCCACCCAGGCTCATGGGGACACTAGCACCAGCTTGGGAGTTCAGCACCTTCTCCCACAGCAACAGTGACTGGATGGAGTAGAGTCCCATCCCCAACAGGCATTAGCAGTTCAGAATAGCAGCTGAAACCATCCCCAGCAGCATCAGAAAAGTCTGATCAGGAGCAGTGCCCCAGCCCAAGCAGCAAGGCTACGGCAGTTGAGACCTACCCCTGACAACTGCAGAGGCAGAATTGAAGTGGAGCCCCTCTGCCCAGCAGCAGCAAAATCCCAAGTGTGGAGCATCCTCAGCCCCCAACAGCAGTAAAGGATTGGGACCTGAGAGGCTGAGAGTACCCCCTGGCAGCAGTAGCAATGCAAACCGGGAGCTGACACTTGCCCCCAGCAGTGACTGATCAGAAGCTGAACTCCACCAGGCAGCAGGGTTCCCCAACAGCACACCAGCAGGACCCACACACCCCTGAAGCATACCAGAAGAACCCACAAACCCCAGCAGGGCACCAGTGGAACCCACGCACCCCAGTAGGGTACCAGAGGGACCCATGAAGCCCAGCAGCATGCCAATGGAACCCACAGACCTCAACAGTGTACTAGTAGAACCCCATGCACCCCAAAAACATACCAGCGGGTCCCACACACCCTAGCAGAGCACCAGAGGGACTCGTGCACCCCAGGAATCAGCAGCACATATCGGCAGCTAAAACCCATTCCCAGCAGCATTAGCAGAAGCTGATCAAGAGCAGTGCCCCAGCCCAAGCAGCAGAGAGTCTCATGGAGCCAAGAACTGCACGACAGACCAATTGCAGCCACCAGGTGTCAACCCTCCAGGACCCACAGCAGACAAGAGGAGACATACACCAAAAGGGGCTGGGAGGCACAGCAACCTTAGTTGATACAGATTGACCTTCCTACACATTCAAACAACCCTCACCAGGCTTAGAAGTACCAGATTTCTAAAATGGTGAGAGAAAGACTTCCGGTCAAGATGGCGGCGTAGGTAAACGTGGCATTCTGTCCTCCCACAACCACATCCAAGTTACAACAAAACTACAGAACAACCAGACCTCAAAACCACCTGAAATCAAGCTGAATGGAAGTCCTACAACTATGGAATTAAAGAAGCTTCATTGAGACTGGTAGGAGGGGCGGCGGCGCGACGGGCTGGTCCCACACCCACGTGTGGCAGATCAAAATCAGGAGGACACCTCAGCTGGGAAGGTCCTTCCTGAGGACTGAGGGTTCCCGTCCCAAACCAGGTGCCCTACTCAGGGTTCCAGTGCCAGGAAGACAAGTCCCCATAACTTCTGGCTGGAAAAACCAGCGGGAACTGAGGCTCAGGGAAGCTGACGTGGCTGGAGCCCCAGGAAGCTCCTTAAAGGGCCCGCACACGGACTTGTCAGACTCTCTCCCTCTAAGCTTGTAGGGGAGGCAGTTCGAGGGGCGCCAGAGACACACAGGGAAGAACTGAGCTGTTTGGCACTCGAGCGAGGGCTGGAGAGGGGGCTTTCTCCGGGACAAACATGCTGTCAGGCCTTTGTTCCTTTCATGAGCCCTTCCCTGGGGCGGCAGACAGTCACCATAACTGGGACTCCAGCAACCTGGCTCACACTGGTAGCCCCACCCTGGTGACTCCCTGAGGCCCTGCCCCACACCCGCCCCACCCAACTTTCAGGCCCACCCAAGCTGTTGGCACTTGCTTAACCATAGGATTGGCCTGACTTGGATCCTGCTTCAGATTTTCCTAATTTTTTTTTTCCTCAACCGAGGACATTTTTGCATTTTGAGTTCAGACAGAGCGGGAGGGAGAAAGAGGAAGAGAGAGAGAGAGAAACATCGATGCGAAGGGACACATCGAGTGGTTGCCACCCGCACGACCAACCAGGGCCGGGGACAAACTGCAACCGAGGTACGTGCCCTTAGCGAGAACCGAACCCGGGTCTCTCTGTACCGCAGGCAGACGCTCTAACCTCTGAGCCAAACCGGCCAGGGCTCCTAAATTTTTTTAAACGAGCAGCATCGGGTCTCAGCTAGCCCCATACCGCTCGTGAAGTAATACACAGAAACAAACACAGGGAGGCAGCCAAAATGAGGCGACAAAGAAACAGGTCCCAAATGAAAGAACAGAACAAAACCCCAAGAAAAGAACTAAGCAAAATGGAGATAAGCAACCTAACAGATGCTGAGTTCAAAATACTGCTTATAAGGATGCTCAATGAACTCAGTGAGGGCCTCAAGAGCATAAAAAAGGACAAGTCAGAAATGATCGATGCACAGTTAGAAACGAAGGAGGCTTTAACTGAAAAAAAGAATAATTTACGCAGCTTCAATAATAGAGTACGTAAATCCAAGGAGCAAACCATCGATTTGGAATATAAGGAAGCAAAAAACGCCGAATCAGAACAGCAAAAAGAAAAAAGAATCCAAAAAAATGAGGATAGTGTAAGGAGCCTGTGGGAGACCCTCAAGTGTGCCGACATTCACATCTTGGGGGTGCCGGAAGGAGAAGAGAGAGAACAAGAAATTGAAAACCTGTTTGAAACAATAATGGCAGAAAACTTTCCTAACTTGGTCAAGGAAACAGACATACAAGTCCAGGAAGCACAGAGAGTCCCAAATAAGATGAACCCCAAGAGGCCCACCTAAAGACACATCATCATCAAAATGCAAAAGGTTCAAGACAAAGAGAGAATCTTAAAAGCAGCAAGAGAAAGGCAGCTAGTTACCTACGAAGGAGTTCCCATAAGGCTGTCAGCTGATTTCTCAAAAGAAACTTTGCAGGCCAGAAGGGAGTGGCAAGAAATATTCAGAGTGATGGAAAGCAAGAACCTACAACCAAGATTACTCTATCCTGCGAAGCTGTCATTTAGAATCGATGGCCATATAAAGACTTTCCCAGACAAGAAAAAGTTAAAGGAGTTCATCACCACCAAACCGTTATTATATGAAACGATGAAGGGTCTTTTTGAAGAAAAAGATAAACTATATGAACAAACAAAATGGCAAAGAATACATATCTATCAACAATGGAATCTACAAACAAAATAAACAGGCAGAACAGAAACATTCTCAAAGATACAGAGAACATTTTGTTGGTTGCCAGATGGGAGGGGGGTTGGGGGAATGGGTGAAAAAGGTGAAGGGATTAAGAAGTACAAATTCATTGCTAGACTGACAAACCTCAAAGGGAAAGGGGCTGGGGGTGGGTGGGAAGAAATAAACCAAAAACTTATATGCATAACCAATGGACACAGAGAATAGTGTGGGAAAAGGTGGGAGGGAGGTGGGAGTGGGGAGGAGGGGGACAATGGGGGAAAAATGTGGAACATCTGTAATAAATTCTACATTCAACAATAAAGATTTAAATAAATAAATAAAATGGTGAGAGATTCTGAAAATGGCGGCGGAGTGAACGGAGCTGCACAGACCATCTCCCAGAACCAAACTGGAATTACAACTATAACACAGACAAATCGACGGGAAAAACCAACAGAAAAGCAGCTTGCGAGGACCATATAACGAAGGACACTGACTCCATCCCGGTAGGTTTGCGAAGGTGCGAGACGGGGGCTGGGAGCCCACGGTCGGCAGCTCGGCAGAGGCCTTAGCTGGGAGCAGCACCCTCGGGTCACACTCCCAGGCGGCTCCACAGCGCAGAGCCTGGACAGAGGCTAAAACAGCCACAGCCACTCACCTTGGGCTCCGGCAGAGGGAGGGTGGACTGGACTGGAACTGTGTCAAGACACTCAGGGTTTGGAGGGCGCTCAGAGCTTTGGCAGAGTGCAGCCACTCAGGACGGTGGCCATATTGCTCCTTCCCAGGGCTCTGAGAGAAGCAGCAGCCCCTCCCTCGGAGATCCAACCCCACCCTGTGGGCCATTGAAGTGCTAATTGAGGCTCACTAAAGACCAGCACCTGCCCCACCCTCCTGAAAGCCCCTTGGCTGAGCACCAGAGGGAGTTTTTCAATCAACTGACAACCCAAAACTCATCAAGTAACCTAGACTGCTAGACTCCAGGCAAAAACCTAGAGGATAACAGTACCTTTCCTGGGCTGGCAACTTTAACCAGGAAAGTAAGACTTGAC